ACTACCGACCAATTACCTAACCCTGTCTCGCCTTGCCTTCCTCTGTGTGTGCCTCATCCTCTCAACCTTCCCTGCCCAGTTTATTGTTCACAACCTCGACCCTGATTGAGTACGCACATTTGTCACCTTGACTACGAAGCACCCGCCAAAGGTTTGAAGTTCGCGCCACCACGAAATAACGACGGCTCAATTTTCGGGCCCTTGAACCCATTACGAATCTGCGATTAAGTCTTCCAACGGCCTCGCGCGCAAGAGCCCAAAGCCTAAATCGCCCCCCCGCGAAGTTGACATCCTCGATCCGCCGCCGCCCGCCGCCCACAGATCAACACTCCGACGAAGTACTGCAGCTCATCGTCGTTCCTGTTGCTGAAGTGCCATTTGGAGAAGATTCCTCATTAGGAAACTGCGATAGAAATACTTAGCTACGATCGGTGCAGTGGCTTCCATCGTTTCAACACCACACATATTCGTCGAGAACATACTCTGTGAAGCACACGGATCTGGGATTCAAAGATGATGCCCGCTCAGCACGTTTACGGACACCATCAGTTTAATCCACAGACTGACTCGGCATGGATGCATCAGCAGTCTAATCAACATCACCATGCTCAGCAAGCTGCTGCTGCCGCCGCTTCTGCCGTACAGCAGCAGCAACAGCAGCAGCAGCAGCAGCAGCAACAACAACAACAACAACAGCAGCAGCAGCAGCAGCAGCAGCAGCAGCAGCACTACAATAGACTTGCTAGTGGGCATTCTGCGGTTCCATCTCTTGGCAATGCGCATGCCCCGGAAGGCAGCCACGACAATATATCCGAGGACAATCGAAGAACAATGGCTTACATTGCTGATCTGCTCAGCGAGAGCACCCGTGAGGCAGCTCTTCTGGAGCTGAGCAAGAAGCGAGAACAGGTTCCCGAGCTTGCGCTCATATTGTGGCATTCGTTCGGTAAGCTTTCATGTCTGGAGACCAGTATGACTGACGCATACTAAACCCACGTAGGAGTCATGACATCGCTACTACAGGAGATCATCTCGGTCTACACTCTCTTGAACCCTTCGCAACTCACTGCTGCGGCTTCCAATAGGGTATGCAACGCGCTAGCACTTCTTCAGTGTGTTGCCTCCCACAATGATACGCGCACGTTGTTTCTTAATGGTACGCCGTCCAGGTGATCCCCTTAAATATTACCTGTCCCTGAGCTCACATCTCTCAGCCCATATTCCTTTATTCCTATATCCCTTCCTCAACACGACCTCGAAATCGAGACCTTTCGAATACCTACGCCTGACGTCGCTAGGCGTCATTGGCGCCCTCGTCAAGAACGACTCTTCCGAGGTCATCAACTTTTTGCTCACCACAGAGATCATTCCTCTCTGCCTACGTATTATGGAGACAGGCTCAGAGCTGAGCAAAACTGTGGCGATTTTCATTGTGCAAAAGATCTTATTGGACGACAATGGGCTCAACTACATTTGCGCTACCTACGAACGCTTTTACGCGGTGGGCACTGTCCTCAGCAACATGGTCGCTCAACTCGTCGAGCAGCAGACAGCTCGGCTTCTGAAGCACGTTGTCAGATGCTTTCTCCGGTGAGTTCTTCGATACAAGTCGATTGGGCCAGCCTCTCACTAATGCCGCATAGATTGAGCGACAACGCGCGCGCGCGCGAGGCTTTGCGCCAGTGCCTCCCAGAACCCCTCCGAGATGCGACCTTTTCTTCGGTACTTCGAGACGACGCTGCGACCAAGAGATGTTTGGCCCAGCTCCTTATAAACCTGTCAGACAATGTCGTCGAACCGACCCAAGGGGGGCACCCTGGTCTTTGAGGAAAGGTCAGGGATACCTGACATATTGTAAACGTTCTGGGGCCAACATAGACTCATGCATAACTCGGCGACTTGGAGGTCAGTGATTTCATCGGAAAACGCAAAGCATCGTAGACGTATTGATACCCGCTTTCTCTGCCCAGATGGGGGCATATCAGGCTGATCTGGTATGCATCTTCAACTTGCGCGGACTCTCTTTCTCTCTTTTTCTCTCTTCATATGTAGCATCGAAAAGGCAGGGGACAAAAGCAAGGGTTTCTTTTCTCGTTTGGTATTGGCGATGGGGTTGTGTCATTTTGATTATACGGTAAGGAGCAGGCGGACCTGGAACTGGCGCCGGAGGCTGGGGATGACGTCTCGGGCTTTATGGACACGGCTCATAGATTTCTGTTGCTAACATACTTCCTATCCGGGGTCGCGCATGGTAGTATTGGCTTCAGTCGGGCGGTATACTTGTATGAACTGTTCTTCTTGGCAGTGTGGTATTGGTTGTCATGCCACATGGCTTGACCTACCCGTGTATGTGTAGAGGCTCAGGTCCATGAATCCAATTTTTTCAACTCATTACCTGTTTCCCAACGATGCTTTCCAGTGCTCTCCGGCTTTCAAGTGAGTGATGTACCCGTCAGATAAGACGATGTCTCCGCGATGAATTTCCTGGCCATCTAGCTCAAATCATTGCGGGATAGCATGACAGCTGTGCGGGGGTGAGGGAGAGGTACCATGCAGAGATTCACAGACCCAGACACTCCTACTCGACTTTGGATGCATGATGAAGGCTTTCTGAGCGTGACCACAGACAGTTTTGCTCGTTGTTACATGCTGGGAACGTCGGCAGCGACGTCGCGGGCCACTTGGATGTATTCTGCTCGAGTCTTGGCAATTCGGTGCAGCGTGACTCACCTCGGTGCCTGCAAAGGTTAAGTCGTCACCCTCTCAGGGTAGAGAAGGCGCGTTGAGGTAAGGGGGCCACTCTATCGGAGTAGGCATTTTCTGTAACTTACCTCTTCCTTTCTTCTTCTCTCTTCTTTCCCCTTCTTTCAACCTCACAACCTCGTAGCAAATCTTCGCACAAACAACTTTTTGGCCATTCGCATCACGTTCCGGCATTCAAATCATGTCAACATTTTCCAAAGCCTCTATGGCTCCTTTGGAAGCTTTTATTGAGCTCAAAACAAAGCCAACACCAAGTTTGAGTTCGCTGCTCTCCGAAGGCCCATCGAAACGTTCTACGAGCAGCATCAACGAGATACCGAGAGTGTTCAGACTCTATACTATATTCCCCCAGCGTTACGGGAGACGGTCAGCAGGCTCAGCCGGGACATCAATCAAATTAGACAGGTTTTAATCACTTAGCATCTAACAAGTTCGTGTCCCCTCCAGACATTCACGAGGAAACATTCACTATCAACAACATGCAGAGAAACAAACGATTAATGGCGCAAGGCAAACTTTAATGCAGTGAAACAGTTCGGACTCCAAACAGAGCTCCATGCACCGATGAATCCCACCACCCACGGGTGCAATAGAGTGGTTGTTCCCGGCAACACCGCTGGGAAGCCTAGGACCTGGAGTATCCAATGGTCATAGGAAAGCCACATGTGGGACATCGATTATCTCCTTATTACATGCCTTTGAGCTGGTGTTGCCTTGGTTTTTACTGCGAATGCGCTGGAAATGATGAGTTCAAGACGACAAGTCTCTATGTGAGGAAGATCTATAGTCTCTAATAAACTTATCTATAGTACCCTTGACCTTATTACTAAAGCTACCTATCGTCAATCTACTATACCTCCCCGTATACACATACAAAAGCCTAATGTAATAGAAATAACAAGGACAGGAGGGATCCATTGAGTGTCTTTTGTGTTTTATACTCGATGGCAGTTGAAGTCAACGGATGAGCTCAATCAGATCGGTGGCCGATTGGCAACACGGGCAGGGTGTCGCACTGGGTCTGGTCATGTTCTCAGGAATTACAGATTAGTGGTCAGCCTCTCGGCTTCTTTATATGAAATCAGTCAGAGATCTAACGGAAATGGTGAAGGAGGCAATATACGACCAGACCTAGGCATGGGTAGTTGGACTTATCGTGAATATCTGAGAGTTTACTACACTCGACGCAACAGCATATGCCCAGTAAGAATGGAGGCACACTTCCTTCGCCGTCCTCAATTCTATCGATTGTGACTCAAAGGGTACTACACAAGCCTCGCGAAGGGTTTCTCCGTGAGAATGTCTCAGTGATCAAGCATTCGACGGCTAAAGAAAACATGGAAAATTCGCCTCAACAGCTTGATCCCCGGCTGAGCTCAACAAACGAGCATCGTTATGCATTGAATTTTCGCATATTTCCTCTAGCATCAGCGGGTGACGGTAGTGGTTGGTTCTTCTCTCAATATTTCCAGCATAGAGTCGTTTTGTTTAACTTGGGATTCGAGGGGAAAGATTATTATTCTTTCTTGAATACTTCAGTTGGGTAGGGATGGGTGTATATGAAGGCTTTGACAAAGTGGCCTGGTCCGTCGTTGGGCTTGATTAGTTCAATAACGCTATGTACTCGAGCCTCGCATGTATTATGGACATCCTACGCAATTCCAGCATTCGTAGGTATTACTGGCGTTTATATGTTCATTCTACGTGTCTAACATCCAGTTATCCTGCTCAAGTTGCGGCACCAGTGAGTGGGCAATGAGCAATTTCTTGGCAGTCACTTTGATTGGAACTTGAAAACAACAATCTAGCGATTAGAATTGGCTTCGGGGAGGTAGACGAGAAGCAGAAAATAAATGCCCGGTATTCTTCACAATGGCACACGATGTCTACGAGCCCCATACCTATGAATGTTTGTCCACGGGCAAGTAATGGGGGCACCTTTACTACATAGATACTTGTTTGGAGCCACATGGTCCTAATACTTCTCGGACCTATGCTGACCCCTCGGAGGAAGAATGGAGGATTCCGTCAGCCCTACGGCCTAATGTATTCCCAATAGGGTTCTGAGGTAACTCAGCCACCAAAGACATGCTCCAGGAAACCGGGTCTCCCAATCACAAGGTCTGTCCGCTACCAAGTGCTCCCTCATGTCGCTATGAGAGGTAAACGGTTCAGAAGACCTTGATAGAGGTAGCTCTCTAAGAGTGAAATATCAACATATCGCATTTTATTTAACCATGACAGTGAGTTTGATAATTGAAGATGCTACCTATTACGGCAAAACGCCAGCAACTCAAGTTCTTTGCGCCGGCAGAAGCGTCCTCACGGCTCAGGATTCCTTGTTTGAGAAGTCAACAACTCTCACGAAGTGTCAGACTCCAAATCGCAGTGTTCGACGAGTAGTATGTGGAGATGGCCGGGAGAGCAAGTCTGTATCCGTGCCTGCCCCAGTTGGGACTGTGCAACGCAGCAGAGCTGACATCAGAGCATACCCTTCCAAGGCAAAGCAGGAGATGAGGCTCAAAGAATGGCCCCCAGTCGACCAGACGAGTCTAGCATACGCTCGAAGCCTGATAGATTCCTCCATTTCTCACGTGGGGTCTAGAATACATCTGTTGGCGCGGATAGGCCGAAAGGCCCATGTGAAGCGAAGAGTGTGTGGAATTTCGTTCGGGGGCCTCGGGGCCTTTTGTGAGCCAAGCTCCTATTGGAGGCGAGTACGAAGACACTATAGGATGTCGGCGGAAGGATTGATCGTCACAGTTACCACGGGGCATCGTGGGCATGTCTGGGCCAGCGTGTGCGTCGTCGTGTGTGCGTGTTGGGCGCGCGCGAGTATTCAGTCAGAGAGAGCAAGGGGTAGAGTAAAGGAGCCAACTCTTCGACATCCAGGCCCAAAGACAAAGTCTATGAGCTTAGCCGGAAGGCTAGTCAGAGGCTTACAAACTCAGCCTTAAAATACACTTCCAATCATCTGCCGGAGCCTGGCGCTCCTCCACGCGGGCCATATTAGGCTCATAAACGATAGCCAATTTGGAATAGATGCATATTTCCCAGCCCCAAGGCAGTTATGACTGATTCGTCGCCACGCACGAAGGAAGGCAGTATGTTTCGTGTTTTCAAGATTGCTCGAGGGTGAAGTAGACGAAGGTTGGGCGGAGATGGTTGTGTCATCGACAGCGGCAGCGATGATGGGCCTGCAGCTACCTACCTTGAGTGATGTAAACTCCGCCGCACTTTCCGTCGTGGATACAAGACATTGGCAACTTGTGCCTGCGTATTGGGGTCCAAAACGAACGGACCACGAGAACGTGTGACACAAGAGATGGAAGTAAAGTTCAGGATAGCGGACGCTATTCGCCAGCCCTACGAGCTTGCGTCTCACTTTCCGTGACAAGTCCAACGGGCCCGGCTCACTTTCGTCCTCGTCGAATGAGTAGAGGAGGAAACGATGCCTTGTGTCCCGCCTCAAGTCTGCTGCCTGATATGCGTAAGGCGGCTACGTCGTTCATTGGGCTGCACTGTACCAAGAGACAAACTGTAGGTGCACCTCGAGTTCTCTAGATATCAATCTACAGTAGTGAGTGTCTTGCTAATTAATGGGCAATTATGAATCAATTCGACGGAGAGCCCACTAGTGAGTCAACCGCAAGCTTTTTCTCAAGGAACGAAATAGCATCCACTGCATTGAGGCAATATGGTAGGTAGATGGGTTCAAGGCCAGCTGTAGTTGACCATGAGACAAGTATCTGTAGTCCGCCAATACGGTACTAATCGAGCTAGTACGAAAACGGGCACCGTCTTCTCGAGTCACACAAAACGGTATGGGTTCCAAGGTTCCGAGGAAGGCGCAGTGCGGGTGCAGGTTCACTTGCAGTTGCAGGTTAGGTAGCGCACGGTGCAGGTGAGGTGCAGAGCGGGTGCGGGTGGGTGTGAGGTGGAGCGGAGAAGCAATGGAAGGTAAGTACGTATTGGATCCGTACTTCGTCCGGAAAGTGAGAGACAGAATAGTGCAGGGGTCGTTACGTCCAGTCCTTTTCTGTACCTTAGCTCATTGCAGTCCAGACCCCAGTCTTCCGCCTTTTCACCACCAAAGCTCGACGAGGCACACCAAAATCTGGCGGGAATTGGCGGTGGCTCGTCCTCGTCAAATTTCGGAGGGGGAAAAGATGGCCGCGACCTAATTGGCTAACATGCCGTTTGTCCGGACACAGCGAGTTGAACCCCCCCCTCTGCAGTCGTACCTGAGGTTCCTCACCATGGCCTCATATTCCATACCTCGTCATTTCGTACACACTCGGCTCTATACTACATCACACACTCGCGGATTACGGATACAACTCATTCTCGCTATTGTATCTTGCCTTGCCTTGCCGTGCCTTGCCCTACTTACGAATTGCCTACATATGCCCGGTGGCATAGGTATGGTGGTGCCATCAATGTCCTTTCTCGGTACGCCGTTGAAGCTCACTTTATTACAAATTGGGCCATGCAGTCAGTCAATAGGTATCAGCAGTTGTCTGGATCAGTGGATGCCCGCCCATACGGCTACAACGTGCTGGGGTCCATCGCCATGTTCTCCCTGCCCTTGTGTCACCGGCCATCACTGACTGCCTAGATCTTTTGTTGCCCATGACTCCATGAGAGGCGGCCGCTCGACGACGTTGCACGCGCAGACAAGACGATACACGCGATTGGTCATATCGCACTAACATACGGATACCCGTACGCAGATGCCTTGCCCGACTGTCTTGACAGACATGGATACAGATTAGGACGCGATTGCATTCATCGATACCCATACGCACCTGAACCCCAATTGCAGTACCGGCGCAATGGCCCTGCGTGTCCCGCACTAGTGGCCGATTTTCTTTGCGATCGGGGGCCATGAACGACAAATGACAACGGCATGATGGGTCCCCTTTCGCCGCACAGCCGCCCAAAGGCACAGGAAGAAACAGCCACGAGTTCGTAGCCACGTCTTGCCGGCAGCTGTCCTGGTGCGAGACGGATGCAGAGATAGAGTGATACACTCAGACATGGAGAAGAACAAGCAGATGCCCGGCACGAGTTGATTTGAGAATTAGAGAAGCACTTCAGGCTACCTCCGCCGGAGCGGCACCCATTGCCTAGTCCCGGTGTGACTCTTCAAGATACGGGCCAGCCACGTGTAGCTTATAGGCACGAACGGACGAACCGCATCGGGGTTCCGAGTCCAGCACCATTTTTATCATATTTTTGATAGCCAAGCCAGACCACCATCTGCCCAATGGTCTCTACACTACAAGCTCTGTATGTGTTGACAATTGCTATTACCCGTCACTCCGGAACTTGAGTGCGGATCACAAGGCTTTCACAGTCACTCGCATTTGTGCCCATCGTTGTTTCACGTCCGTCCGCTGAGCCGCAGTTGTATTGCTGTTGGGGCAGGCTCGCCAACCCTGGGAAAACACCAAAAAGCCATGGCGAACGTTGCGTTTCATCTCTCTGCCGATTCACATTGTGACGACACAGGCCGGTATTAATTGGTTGAGAGGGACGATGCCTTATCAAAAGTGTTTGCCTGCACGAATCTTGACCAGGCGAGGCGAGGCTACGAATACCTAGGTACCATCCAAATGATCCAATGCTTCCAGGTGGTCTATTGTGGCGCCACCACCACCGGCGCCGGGAGCCCCCGACGTTACAACGACTGCGTCGGTGTTTGTCCCCTGGTAAATCCAAACACCGAGTCACTAGGATGGATCAAACATCTTGTCTGATCAAACGCCGTCTTATTGATATTCCCATCAAAGGGCACGTATGGATACTACTGTTTCAATTGCTGTTTAGCCCTGGAGGCATGCTTGCCTCTCCTTTTCGTCGTTAGATGAGACGTAAATGAGCAAGAAGCCGACAAGACACGGCGTGCTCCCTTACTCTGGCTTCTCTAGACATTTAGGTTCATCAGCAAGCGGCTTGCGGGTATGCACATCTTCATGGCGAGGACACCCGCGTGTGATGCGTAGGTACACGTGTAACACCTTGGATGTCTCTGTGCGCAAAGGACATTTCGGTCGATCATCACCAATGCACCTAGGTATGTACTGGCATGAGGTGGCCGTGGTGGTGTACTTCCACGGGTTCCTAGATTACAAAGCATGTGCTGTTGCCCAATCCGGCCGAGGGCTGCTGCGGGCGTTGCCGCCGAAGATACGCCCAAGAAAGCGATGACAGGTTATATGTCGCATGAATGCCCAGGAACTCCGTAGATCTTCAGGAAGACATGCATAGCAGTGCTTAGGGAAAAGTCTAGTTATCCGTACTTGCGGAGTTTAGAAGAGGCCTTGGTCGGGAGACGGGGTGAAGCAGCGGGACTCGGGGAAGCTCGGACAGCTAGGCGTGAGGTGGCAGGGTGCCAGAACAGCGGGCGGCTCTCAGATAGGCAAATTGCAGTACGGATACCTCTACGCAGTACTGAATATGTTTTTTGCCATGGGGAACGATATACCTGCCTCCCTCACCTTGGCAGCAGTGTGCCACATTCACAGCCTCCTGGAGTACCTAGGTCCTGGGCCTGCGGGGAGGATGAGGGTATTCGTGTACGTACCGTAGTAAGGTAGGTACCTAGGTAGGTACCTTACTTCGTACCGTCATGCAGGCAAGGCAAGGTACCCAGGTACCGCAGGTAACCAGCAAGCGAGAATGGTTGAGGTTACACAAGCTCTTGAAGCAAACAGACCAATCAACTACGTCCCACGGCCATTCCTTCAGCCCTACGGCCCCTCGTTTTCTGGCGGCGTCACCGAAAGCTTGGCATCTGCAGTCTGCACCCAAGCTCCTTTGACCCCGCCTGATGGTCTCCTGGTCTCTCCGCCTCTTGCCTGGACCTGCTCCCATTTCCCATCTGCCTCACCCCAGTCCATGAACTTCTTCAAGCCCTGTGTAACCTGCTTCCTCCGCCTTTTCCCCTCCCTGCTTCCTCGTCATCCACCCTCCGCGTCGGCTGTGCGCGCGTAGGTACGAGTTACACCAGTCTGTTCCGTACTCTTCTGCTTCGTCGGCCCCGTTGTGTAACAATTTCGTCTGTTCCATGGAATCATTCCCTCGCTTCTCTTTACCTGTCGTTTCACACCCCCCGGGACAACACAGCAAACCCAAGCGAATCATCAGCATCACGAATGCAGTCTAAGACAGCTCGCTCCCCTGCCAGTCCACACCAGGCCCGGGGTCGATCCCGATTCCCCATTGTCTCGCCCGTTTGTCCCCCTCTTATCGAGTACCTACCTACAGCCTACACGCACAAGATTCTACGACGGGAGTCTTATGCTGCAGCAAGTTGATGCACGAACAAAAGACCTTGTATGCTCTGCGCATCATCGTCAACGAGATCAACTGTGACCAGCACGTCTCATGCTGCTTTGGGAAATTCCAATTAGATAGCTACACCGCTAGAAAGACTGAGTCTACGACATGGACGCAGGTCATGTCTTGTACGGACAGAAACGCCTTCGATTATGCCTTACAGCTGTCTCGACGGAACGGGGGTGCTGCTCCCTTTCCTCCGTGCATGCCGGCCACATAAGCCCGGATCTTCGGGGTGACTGCGGCGCGACCGGTACATCCACCGCATCATAAGCGAAGTTGAAAGCAATCAGCTATCCCAACAGTCATCCCGATATCCCAGTGGCTTATGGAAGCTAGCCCTACGGGCATCCATCTGGCAATTAAGCATCTCACTGGCGCATCGAAATGGCGGACCAGTGAGGTACATGACTGGTGGAGTTGCCATGTTCCCGCAAGCAGGTCAAGTCCAGGTCAATGGATGACTACTTTGTCATCACTGGAACTTTTGGTGTCTACTGGGCGTGGCAGACATGCTACAGCAGGAACTTGGATTTCCAGTACGGGCAGAGCATGGTAGGCGATTGTCAAGCCACGTCTGTCCCGGATTGTATGGAGCCGATACCTATGTGAA